TTTTTCTGCATGAAATATACAAAAATAAGAAAATGAAAAACATTATTAAGACAACAGAATAAATTATTTTAAGAAATATTTATCTGTAGAAAATCATCTTTAAAACGTTGTTTCATTTTGTATATGTAAAAACCTTTGAAAGTTCTTCCTATGCCCTAAGCTTTTAAATCTTTTCGACCAGAAAACCTGTAGTGTACCGTTTTATTCAGTTTATTCTCATTATTTCAATGTAAACGAAAGTCATCTATACTAATATTATAAAGAGAAAAGATTTGATTGTTTGTTTTTTTTTGTTTACTTGAAACGAAACTACTAGGAAACTACGAAACTACTGGACTGATTTTAAAAATTGTTTCACGTACGGGAAGCTACATAATATGCGGTAAACATAGGCTATATTTGAGTAAAATGGGAGTGGAAGTTTGTATAAGGAACTAAAATGTTACTATAGTAACCATTGTTTACTATTCAATTTGTTTTTGTAATTATATCCGTGTCATGATTTACAGTCCCCAGATTCAAACAAACAGTCCTCTCGGAACCACGTGGGCGAAGCCGCTGGGGGAAAGCTAGGCTAGCTTTTCATAAAGAAATGTGACATACATTTAAGTGATAATAATATATATAAGCATTACGTACCTCAAAAAATACCTCCGTAGCCGAGTGATTCACACGCCGGTTTCAAGGTGTCCATCTCTGAGGTCCCAGTTTCGATTCCCGGTCGGCTCAATGTCGAAAATGAACTTTTCTATATTGTCACTGGTCTGGGTGTTATGGTACCTTCGTTGTCTCAGATGCTCCATAATACAGGGGCTTAAGCTACTCATCTTGGAATCTGAGCAATGTATGTGATGTTTATAAAAAAATATACATAAATTATTAGATCAATTATGCTTCTCGTCTATTTATCCGTTAGTCACAAATCAGAATCGATTTACTCGGAAATTACGGGACCAATTCACATAAAATTTTGTTCCCATGAGTAAATCTGTAAATAAACACAACTGTAAAAATGTAAATAAAAACCATAGTATCGTATGACATATAAGTGAGTAAATAAATAGTTGCTATGAAAATAGATGAAAATGTTACCATCCCCGATTCTCACTGTTCTACGAGACTACTGGACCTAAATTCTGAAATCTCTCTAAATGTTACAAACCAGTAAATTTAGTAGGTTCACCCGCGTTTACTTCATAAAGAAGATTTACTTAGTCACAGGGATTACCCAAACAATTTAGATATAAAGCACTATGGAAACACAAGAAACATATTGTGAAATTTGTACTAAGCAACGAAATATAAATGAAAATTGACTAGTTGTACGATTAAGTTTCAAAAATAAAAATAAAAAGGAAATCATAATCTAATTTCCTTCATGGTCTGGTGGATATAGGGTTAGAGGCTAAATACCAGATGTTGATAGAAGAAGTAGATAGTTTCGAAACGTGCTTATGGCAGTTGTATAAAAGATAGATGATCTTTATTGGCTAGGAAACGATTGTGGAACCACCAAGGAATCCGTTTTTAGAATCAACAGAATCGATCCACTACTGACGAAGATATCACGGAAAACACGTACAAAAAAAATAAGTCGATATGAAATCAACCTCCTTTTATTTATAATCTGTTAAAAATAACACACTCTCAAAAAATCAACATCATCATCAGCCCTTTTACGTCCCCACTGTAGTGGGTCAGGCCTTATTGACGGTTAAGGAGGATAGGTAATGACCTGTGGTAATGACCCTCCACGCTGATCTACTACAGATTAGAATGTGTTAATGACTGCAAATGCAGGAACCAACGGCTTAACGTGTCTTCCAAAGCTCGGAGTAGCTCAATATAATAATTTTCACCTATCCTATGACCGACCGTGGTGACAACGTTGCTTGACAACAAACATTATCGCAGGCCGCGTCACTACGGCACCGAGCTACTCTCAAAAATACACATTTCCCAATCAATGTCTAGGTATGTTATATCTTCACGAAAGTATTCCACGATCATTAGAAAACATATTAATCTTAGTTGGTCCCTGAAAATTACACCCGTCTATCAATGTCAATAGCTTATTTGAAATTTATGACAAAGCTGTTTTAAATGATATCTATACACTGTACAATGTTAATGAGTGTGCACAGTACCATGTCAAAAAACCACACATTATCAAATCTAAAAATTTTGAGTTAAGGCACAGACCGCACTGTGTTTAGACGCTAGACTGAAACTTTGCGGTTTGTTATACATAGTTCAACCTTATAAACGCAAGCATTAACAGACTGGAAAGGCGAGCCGCAATGTATGCACTTTCAGCTATCAGTTAACCGCGTGCATTTAAACGTAGTACCGTCTCAGCCTATATGTATTATATCTAAGCTTATTCATACCTTCATATAATTTGTTAGTTTGCTGTTTTGCTAATCATATCTCGTGGTTGAAATCTTTATTAAATGTTATCAATTTTTGGCAGTATGAAATTAATTCACTTAATGTAAATCTAAATATTGTATAACTCAAAGGTGACTGACTGACATAGTGATCTATCAACGCACGTTCCAAACCACTCGACGGATCGGGCTGAAATTTGGCATGCACGTTATGACAAATTTTATAGTTATGACATAGGCATCCGCTAAGAAAGGATTTTGATCAATTCTACCCCCAAGGGGATAAAACAGGGGATGAAAGTTTGAATGAAACTTTGTCAATATTTAACCGATCGGGCAGAGACTTCTCATGCATAAAGCTACTATGACGTAGGCATCGCCTAAGATAGGATTTTAATAAATTCCACCTCTAATGCCCGGTTTCTGAGGTACTTTTAACGGCAGTTTATCTATTCGATAGCGCTATTGGTTCAATAACTCTTAGAACAACGCCGCGTCAGTTAAACTCCGTTTAAACTAAGGTTAACTTAACTGACCATTTTGTGCCGTTTATCGGTTCCATAACCTTATTTGACGTTTTGGACGTGGTCATTTCATGCGACTTTTATTAAGGTTGTTATTAATACGTGGTGAATTTTAAAGTTGCGTTATAGCTAAATTTAACTAGAAAAACAATGAATAGTGGTATAATTAATACAAGCAGTTCGTCAGAGTCGGATACAGAAGTAATGGATTTTATTTCTAGTATATCTATACCTAGAAACTTAAGACAAAGGAGAAACCCTTTCGAAATGTTAAGTGATGAAGAGTTCACGTTAAGATATCGCTTTAACAGGAACACTGTGATACATGTCAGTGAAATCATCAGCCCTACTCTGGTGCCTATTTCGCACCGCAAATATACATTGTCTGTTTTGGAACAAATCTTTATCGCATTACGATTTTATGCCACAGGTACGTTCCAGGTTTTAATTGGTGATGACATAAACGTACATAAAAGTACCGTATCAAGAGTAGTGTATAAAGTGAGTAAAGAAATAGCAAAGTTAGCTAGGAGCTATATTACAATGCCCAATATGGAAGAGTTGAGAATGGTTAAAGCGCAATTTTACAATATAGCTGGATTCCCAAATGTTATTGGTTGTGTAGATGGATCACACATACCTATTCAGTCTCCTGGAGGTGAACAAGCAGAATTGTTTAGAAACAGAAAAGGTTTTTTTTTCTATTAATGTACAAGTCGTTTGTGATGCAAAATTATATATCCGTGACATTGATGCTCGATGGCATGGATCGGCTCATGACAGCACTGTGTTCACAACTCATTCCTACGAGCGCGCTTAGACAATAATGAGATAGATGGTCACCTGCTGGGAGATAGCGCTTATCCTTGTGGGAAGTATATGATGACTCCATTTTTAAATCCAGTCACTAATGCGGAAAAGCTCTACAATGAAGCACAAATTAAAACCCGAAATACGGTTGAAAGGACATTTGGTGTGTGGAAAAGAAGATTCCCATGTCTTTCACAGAAATTAAGGCTCAAATTAGATGTCATTAGTTAAAATAGTTGCAACAGCTGTGTTTCATAATATAGCTCTTCAACAAAATGATTCAATAATTATTGAATCTGTTTCTGAATCTGAAGATAATGAAGAGATTCCACAAACCATGGATTTACCCACTACCTCTGGTGGTAACCACTATCGTCAATTATTATTGGAACAATATTTTAGGTAGGTATTTTCCTCAGAACACAAATAAAAAACAATAACTTGAATATATATTTTATTTGCATATTATAATTTTTCTTTTTAAATTCTAAATCTAATTTAGCATTTTCTAAAAGAACTTTTTTAATTCGATATTTAATTCTAAAAGGGGATAAAAAGGGAATGAAAATTTGTATGAAAGTTTGAATATCTTCTTAGATTTTCGACTGATTGATCTGACACCGAGTATCTCAGTGGCGTAGTGGATAAGCGCCGCGGCCCGCGATCGTAGTCGTTAAGCAACTTTCGCAAGGGTCGGTCACGGGATGGGTGACCAAAAAATTATTATCTCGAGCTACTCCGTGCTTCGGAAGGCACGTTAAGCCGTTGGTCCCGGCTGCATTTGCAGTCGTTAATACCCTCCAATCCGCATTGGGCCAGCGTGGAGGGTCATGGCCCATCCTCCTTAACCATCCATAAGGAAGGCCTGAGCCCCTGCAGTGGGGACATAAAAGGGCTGGTGATGACATTAAAGATTGGAGCTACTATGATGAAGACGTCCGCTTAAATAGGATTTTGATTAATTCAACCCTCATGGAGATAAAATAAGGGATGATGAATAATGAATAAAGTCGCGGGCAAAAGCTAGTTTTCCTATAAAATCTATTTGCCATAGTTTTACAGTGTTTAGTATTAAGTCCAATGTTTAATAGAAATTGTTCATGAAAAGTCCCATTTCTATATTATATTTATATTTATATATATTTCTATTCAGGTTTTATACAGTGAAACAAAATCAAAATAGCTGTAATTAAAACTGAGGAGTCTACATAGGGAATGCATAAAATTTTCTCAATTGAAAAATCACGAGGTGGCGTAACCTGCTTTGGTAATTATCCTAAGGCGAAACCTTCACAAATCTTTACTTTTCTTGGCATAATTGCACTCTTATTACAGATAAAAATGATAGATATTTTAATCTTCTTTTCTCTTTATCTTGACGCCAAGCCTTAATAAAATCTAAAACTTAATTGTTACTGTCAAATTGTCACGCAATAACGCGACATAATAATTAAAACACTATTATAGCTAAGGCTGTTATTACACACGCCCATAATTATATTTAAGTCCAATTCAGAACCGAAAAGTGTCATTCGGAATCATGATTCCAAGGAAGTCAATAAACAAAAAAACTTTTCTATCATGTCATATAATCATATACAATTTACTACAACTATCATTTTGTGAACAGTTTTATGATTTAATGAAAATTGAAAATGATACAGTTACAACGAGTACATGCATTTTGGGAATTTTAGAACAACATTTTCCCTGTAACACATACATAACTTTAGTAACAGATGATGAGGATGACAAAAATCTCATTGGAAACATAAATGAAAGAAAATGTTTTAGTGTTATCGTAAGAACGTATCACAAAAAGGGCTGGTTTATTTACAATAATGTATATTTAATTATGACCACAAATATAGACAACCTGAAAGCATCAATGTTACAATTGAAATCAGAAACATTTTGGAACCCCAAAGCTCGTTTCATCTTCACAACACAAAACTGCAGTGATACTGAAATCAATAACATATTCCATTTATTTCTTACTTACAAAATATACGATGTGATATTTCTCGTTCAGGCCAAAAGGGCCACTTATGTTTATACATATTTCCCTTTTGAAGACGGAAGATGTGGAGATAATACTGCTCCCGTCAAGATCGGAAACTGCAAAGACGCTGTCAACAATACAGTCTACTTCCAAACAAAAGGTATAAAACATTTTCGGAAATGCAAATTTAGAGTGATCAAATTTGCTGACCAAAACATTTTGCCTATCCTAGAGCAATATATTCTCGATGATTTTGCTATTAAAGCTAACTTTACCTTAACATACGAAAAATTAGAAACAGAGAAGAACTTTGGTGTTGTACTGCCGAACGGCACAACAACAGGTCTCTTGGGATATTTAGATAGAAACGAAGCAGACATTGCTATGGGATCTGCAGTTTTGTTCAAGAATCGGGCAGATTTATACGACTTCATCAGTGGTTTTCACTTCGCCTCTTTTAACTTGTATTCTTCAGCTGTTGGCGATGAAAGATGGAAGACCGTATATATGGCATTCGATGTAGAAACGTGGTTACTAATAATATTTTTCTACTTTATTATGATATCTATGTGTATTGTTTTACTTAATTTATCTCCAAAAATATCTTACAATCACTCATATATCTTTTTACATCTGTACGGATACTTTCTAGGGAACGGTACGGTGCTTTTCTTCAAAACGAAAAGACTTAGAACCATCATGATTTCATGGATTTGGTTTACATTCCTCACAAGCAGCTTTTACAATTCTGATATGTACAGCTTGGTCACTGACCACATGACTTACAAGCGGCAAATAAGTCACGATAAATTGAATACCGTTCCTTATAAGCCCTGCATTAGTTATGTCATCAGCACTTTCTTCTTCTTCGCTTACAATGAGGTCATGCCCGAAAATATTGACAATCCGTTATGTAACACCGAAGATGGATCTTTTAACGTTGTAGCTTCAGGAACAAATTTATATACAGTTCAGTTGAAATCATTCTACACTTCCAAAGAGAAAGAATTTTTAAACATTTATGGAAAACGTATGTTAGACTCTTGGGATTTCACAGGTGACATATTATTTTGTTTCTATATATACAAGGGATTTGTTTTAAAAGATCAACTTCAAATGCATGCCCTACGGATGTTCGATGCAGGAATCACAACAGTATACAATAACTGGTTAAATCCTGAGCAAGCAATAGACAATCGAAAAAATAAATCATTCAAGCAATTCGTAATGAAAGATTTACAAATACATTTTGGTGTACTATTTGTAGGATCCATGATATCTACATTTGTTTTTCTCTATGAAATATACAAAAAGTTTAAATACGCCTAATTTAGTATTGAGACAACAGTATTAATTAATTAAAGAAATATTTATCTTTAGAAAATTATGATAATTGTAGTTTGATTATATTTCATTAGTTTTTAATCAATGTTTGTTTAATTTTGTACATCTTTATAACCTACTAGCTTTCCGTCAGCGGCTTCGCTCGCGTGGTCCCTAGAGAACTATTTATTTGGATATCAGTGAAAAATTGAATAGTAAACAATGGTTACTATGGTTTCAATTTACTTTTTTTTTGGTATAAAACAGTCTATGTTTACCGCATGTGTAGTTTCATGTAGATAGAAGAATTTTTAAAATCTCTCCAATACTTCCGAACCCCATTGCAAACAAACAACCAAATCCTTCTTCTTTTTTTATATTAATATAGATGTAGATCATTGGTTTAACGTTAGTTTCTTTCATCAATAATAGAAGTTCTATACACGACGAGTGTGTGTTTTACCTCTAAATTAAATTTTAGATCGATTTTCCAATTTTTTTTTCATTCGACACCTTTTTATCCAAATCGGAGTAGCTCTTTTGTTTTTATGACAAAACTATCTTTTGGCCGTAACTTTATTTACCGCCCAAATATTACAGTAGTTTATTTTTTCAAAAAATAATAGCTTTTTAATTTGACTGTTTTCTTGTATCCTAGTTGCACGTTTTTTGTTTAAAAGAGTATATTCTTAAAATAATCCCATTAAAACTTTGACGGAATTACATCAGTAATTTTATTATTACATAAAACACTGGGAGAAATACATCAAATATCTGGCCGATGTGGTTGACACAAAGGCATTTTAAAATGAATGTTTATTTTCAAACAGAAACAGGTGTTAACTAATTCTTATTTTTGCAAACTCAAACTTCATTTGAGGTCAGACTTGTAAATATTTAGTCATCATATCTTCGTCCGAATCCAAATTTTAAGTATTATTATTATTCGATATTTTAAAGTCGTTTTTGTTATTTTAAATTTACATTCTTTATAAATTGATATAAAACTAATTATATTGGTTTTACAGCAAAGTAGAAGCATGTATAAGAATTCTCCATCCATTCTGATGAAGATAACTGCTAATTCAAATTAAGAAAATGTGTGATTTTCATTTGTTTTTGTTACCTTCGAAATGAGTGAAACTAATGAAGAAATTCGATACCTACATTTTAAAATTTTATTATAAAAAAAGTTTAAAATGCAACGCAAACCGCGAAAAAAATTTGTGACTTTTATGGACCTAGTCAATGACATTACAATAAAAAGGGTAGATAGGTCATGTCACTTCAAAAATTTCCTAGCATATACACACTCTTATGGCACGATAATCTCCAATTATTTATAGACCGTAATTGACTATAGTCACAGATCAGACGTATAATGATTTGTTGCATATTTAATGCCTACTTTAACCTAAACGAGTTAAAGACTTCGATCAACAGTTCAACTTAAAAATGTTAATGTCTAACATTACTATTCATCCTTGTCGTTAGTGTATATATTATTTGCTTGTACATAAATAATTAAGCTTTCCAAGCGATAAAATAAACCTGACACTGATATATGATAACGTCGAATTGTCCGTTCTGTTAGTTCCATAATCTTTGACAGATCTTTCTCACAATTTGTAACCCGAGTACTTACTCTTTCTTTTCATGAGAAATTATATATTTTTCTGATTAAAACGCAAATTAATTAAAAATATACACTTTCGAATAAAATGCGCCCCCTTGGTCTTCAGATGACTTACTTATGTTGTTTCTACAGTTTCACATAACACACATTTAAAATGATTATGGTTCATAAACGCATACAATCAACGCTTTCGCTAGACTGCGCTCAGGTATGCTAATTAGCATAGTTTAAAGGTAACACTTTGTGAATTCAAGTAATCTATCTACTTTTTTATTTTAATATCATTGGACCTAGTACAGTTTCTGTGAGAGTAACACTTTGATTTTAGCGTTTTCAGTCCGGAAATTTTTACGTCAAAGATGCACATCGCTTTGGTCGCCTGTTACGGATAAAATAGAAGCCATTTTTGAAAACTTGGAGCATGATCGGCATACTAGTAATGACGACGTAACTGAAGAATTGGGAATTGATCACAAAGCCCTGACCTTGCACCTTCAGATTTCAACCTGTTTCGGTCTCTTCAAAATTCTTTAAGTAGTGTAGGGTTAACATCACGCAAGGACTGCCAAAACCTCTTGTCACAGTTTTTTGATCAGAAGCCCCGAAATTTCTATAGCAATGGGATCATGTCTCTACTTACAAAATGGCAAAAGTTATCGAACAAAATGGTACTTTCATACTTTAGTTAAATGTAAATAAACTTTATTAAAATATATTACGAATTTTCATATTAAATGCGAAGAAACTTTTTGCCCAACCTATTAAGTTAACCTGAACATACAGTTTTATAATTTTATCTTTAAATATCTATTTCAACCTTTTTATCAGATTAATAAAGAAACCTGTTTTTTATTTCAAGTTTTAGTGGGTTAGGTGTAAGAGCCTTACAAACATATACACATACCTACTTTCGTTATATAAGTACTCGTAATATCAGTATGGAATAATTAAACGATTATTTTTGTCGCTCTACTGAGCAACTTCTACTTTAAATATATGATATAATTATTATATATTAAAAGATTACCAGACACTTTCCAAAATAAATAGACTAAGAACAATTTAAATCACAGTGAATTGGTAAACTTTTAAATTCACAGCTGATTCTTTTTTTCGAGTTTAAATTGAGGAGATTTTGTATGAACTTGAGGTTAATATATAATTAATGTGTAGTAACAAACTGGGTAAGACTGAAAACTACCCTTTTGGATTTTTTTAACAAAACAATAACGCAGTTAAGTTAAAAATAAATGCCATCTAGTATATCAAAGCTTAAAGCTTATTGTTTCTACATTTTATTTCAAATCTAATCATTAATTGATCATAAACTTACATTCGGTTAGTCTTTTACAGTTCAAATTAAATTCTAAGGTCTAAACCATGGAAGTCAAATCATTATATAAATTTCAAGGAGATTAGGGATGTTAAAAAATAATCGATTTTTATTTTAATCGATTATTATTTTAATATTATCGATTTTTTATAATCGATTCTACATGTCATATTAATCGATTTTTAACAAATCGATTAAATAAATTGCGCGGTTAAATCGATTTTCATAAATAGCATCATCTATGCGCCAAATGAAAAAACTCGAAGCATTATTACTTAAAAGTTGATTATATAAAAACGGCGCCATCTGTAGGTATATATGATCTATTTCATGGCGACCGTGACCACGATGGTCCGAAGCTACAAAATAGTGGTGTGAATTGTGACATGGGACGGAGGTCAAGCTGTTAGTTATTTTCCTACATACTTATAATGGGATAGACAGCAAATGATTATTACTCCGAGAATTAAATTAACTATGTTTATCAATTGGATATAAAGAGAAGATGCAAGAAATTTTTAAAAGAAGTCATTGAAGAAACTGCAATGGTTGTAATACAAAAAGTAATTGAATGATAACGAAGAAGAAATGACGGATAACCGAAGAAAAAAATATGTAAGAAGAATCTGATACTCAAGACGACATTAGAATAACATCGATGTTGACATCGATATCATCATCGTAAGTCCAACATCGATGTTTGATATTTATCGAAAACTAAACATTTACATTCATGACAATTTTTTTTTTATTATTATATTTAATTTTTTGCGACAATAAGGTTGTCATTTTGATGGGATGTTCATTTAACTATTATATAACGTTTAAAGATACTGAGAATTTCTATCTATAATGATATTTGGTTTTATTATTCCTTACCTTGAAAGTTTAAAAGAACATTTGCTTTGATTTTTAGTTTTGAATTGTCAATTTTTTTATTCATATTATTTTTTTTAATCTGATTAATTGTTAATATGAATCTTTTAGGTTTATTATTGGAATATGCAAAGCATGTAGGATTTTAAATAATAGAAAAAAAATCGATTTTTTCGCAAAAATCGATTATTTATTTTCATTAAAATCGATTATTGACAAATCGATTTATAATTTATAAAAGATAATCGATTTTTATTAAATCGATTATTTTCTATTAATCTCACATCCCTAAAGGAGATTAAATGTTTTAATAATGTCAAGTAGACTATTTTAAAAATTCACATTAATCAATTACATCACGAAAGGAAGTCAATTAAATTATAAAAGAAACATTTTAAAGCTCAACCTCAACTTCAATCCTGGCCAAAACTGTGCGATGTAGAAATATACTTAACGCCATCTAGTATAGCACAAAATATATAGTTTGTGATTTCTTTCGTATAAAAAGCTATTGTTATTTTTTTTTGTCGTGGATACGTCTATGTTTTCGTTCTACAAGGGGGTCATTCTGCGAGCAGGAGTATATGCACTAACGCCATCTATTGGCGTATAAGTGAACTATGCTTGCTCTGCAGGGGATAAAATATGACATTAAAAAAAAAAACCTGGTTGGCTGTATCATTGATACAGCCAACCAGGTTTTTTTTTTTAATTAAAATGTAATTTTTATCAATTATATACTCAAATACCAAATTTAATCACAATATAAGGAATTTTATAAATCTTATTAAATAGATTTATTACAATGACAAATCAAATTGTAAACAATGGTTGCTCCATAGCAATTACCTTTAATATTTCGATTCCCCATATAAACTTTCACTACCAATTTTATCCCTTTAAGTAGGTACTAGTTTTAGGGATAAAATATAACCTATTACCCTACCCAACTACCAATTTTCATCGTTACAGGTCCAAAATCAAAGAAGTTTCATAGAAACCTTTCTACCCTTCTTGACCGCATTCGGGGTGGAGTTTCCTAAGATCCGTTCTTAGTACATGTTTGGCGAGCGGGGGTTGGCAGTGGTGGAATGTTCCAGTAAAAGTTTGTTACACCGTTATAAAGTTATTTATTTATTTTAGTCTAATAATTGTACTGGG